CCAAACCTCTCCAGTACATCGGCGCGTAAGCAACTTCATCCAGACACCTCCACTGGAATACATTGAACCGACCGGACACGACTATCACTTCAGCTTCACACGCCCGCAATCGTGCCCGGCATCTTCGCGTCTGTCGTCAGAGTCCGACAGGGCTTATCCGGCAACAACGTTGGAGGGATCTGAGTACGAGACCGACTCTGAGGAGGATTGCGAATCGGATCAAGAAAGTGAACAAGAAGAGGAGATACCGATGCGTCGGGTAGAAAAAGCCCAATTCGTACTCGAAGAACTGGACAGCGATCCAGGCTACGACTGTGACGTAGAGGTAGTGCGACCAGACCATTGCGAAGATGCAAGGAGCGAAAGGAGCGGCACAAAGGCAGCGATATTCGCCAGAATGAACGAGCTACAGCTCGAAGAAGACACTTCAGAAGACGAGGAAAGGGAGCGCATTTACCTGAAGAAGAAGAAACGATGGAGTGCAGGCATCTTCAAGCGCAGCCACAGCCAGAGCGTGGAAGGAGACAGCAGTTACTCCGACGATGACCCTCTCGATGACAGGGACCAGAACGCTCGCCGACTGCGCCGTCGCGTCCGAGGGCCTAGAAGAGGCTCACTGATCTTCGAAGACCGTGGTTTCTCGAACACGAATAACATTGCGGAGGTTGAGGAACCTGACGAAGGAAGGGTGCTACACTCCAAGGGACCGCCATCTATCCCTAGTGATGACGCCTTCACTCTAGACGAGCTGCCGTTCTGGGGAGGGCACAACATGATGGACATGGAGTTTGAGTCTGACCAGGTGTCAGAATTATGATTGACGAATCTTAGAGGCCATTGCCATGACCTTACGGCTGTTCTCTTAGCTCATTGCGTTCACGAGCGACACGCTTGCTGTCGATTGTTTGATTTAGCGTAGCGTACTATTTTCTGAATGCATCTGTTTTTACCTGCACATTGCTCAGCATCCGCCAGACCGTGAGACATGGTCTAGATGCGAATTTCAAATTCACCTGCGTCTAAGCTCTGGCTTTGTTGCAGTTTGTTCTTAGAGACGCGTTGGTCTCGCGAGTCAGTGCGGGCTAAACTTAGCCATCCTTAGGTAAACAGACGGCCCACCTGAGCAGGCGTCAACGGCGGAAGCTGACGACCATCCGCACGCGACTAAATCCACGCACCGCCAACTATCAGGCAACGCGCATTCTCAAAGGACGCGGATACTCGCCGTTCCGTTATTTGCGCCTAGTCAAATGACCGCAGTCACAGAATGCAACTCATCTCGCGCGAGACTACCCCAAGGCTAGCCTCACTATGTGATCGTTTACCGGTAGATTGCACACGCAACACCATCCCTTCGCACGGTCAACCTCGCTAGACGTTTCAGCTTCATCAGCGCAAGCGTCAGGAAGTAATTTCCATCCTTTGTTCTATCTATTTCGTGCAAGCGATGCCGTGACGCCGAAATACACCGCCCCCACAAGATCCACGCCCCATCAGCACTCCCGCTGTAAGGCTGACGGACCGCCAGACATAGTCGCACCGACTCCCGATGCCAGCCAATGATTATTCTTGACCCCAGGATGTCTAAGCATATCGCATCCCTCGCTGAAGAGCGCACACAATTAGTCGGCAAGCGTCAACACCGTACTGTACAGCCCTCCGGAATCGTGACTTCCGTCCAGAACAGCTGATGGTGCTGGTAAGACGGATGAGAACAATGGAGGTATAAGTAAAGCAGTGTAGAACACCCCGTTGGAGAATCATCTCCTTACACACAAACAAGAAACTCATACTACCATCTCAACTTTTCCTCTTTACTTTCCATTATCTCCTTGTTTCTTTACTGTCTATTCAAGCCTTCGCTTCTTAATCAGTAATCATGTTCACCATCACCAACATCGTCGTCGCTTCGCTCGCTCTCGGTGCCGTTCAAGCCCTTCCTCAGCATATTCATGCGAGACAGGACAACGCTACTTCCACTCCTGCTGCCCCGGCAGCACCTGTTTCAACGCCTGACATCTTCGATGACCTCCTGACTGCTCCTACAGCCATCAAGCGTTTCCAAAGGCTTTTGACTGTGGGAGAAGGTCCTGAAGGTCCTGAGCTCCTGAAAGGAGACGACCTCCGCAAGGCGACCGTCTTCACTTTCGACAGGAATGCAAAGCCAGCTCCTGGCGCAGAGGGCGGTGTCGCAGTTGCAGCCGTAAGTCTTTCGTTCCCTCAAGTGACAAACCTTATACTAATCCCCTCCCCAGAACATTGGAAACTTCCCCATCCTAACCGGTCTCGGCATCTCCACCACCGTCGGTTTCCTCGAGCCCTGCGGCATCAACACGCCCCACGTCCACCCTCGCGCTACGGAGATGCTCACCCTTGTCGAAGGCGAGAAGATGGAGTTCGGTTTCGTCCTAGAAAACGCCCTCGTCGGACCCAAGCAGAACCCAGAAGTCGCAGGCTACCTCAACGCCTTCGAGGCTACAGTCTTTCCTCAAGGCTCCATCCACTACCAGTTCAACAACAACTGCAAGCCGGCGACTTTTGTGGCGGCCCTCAACTCTGAGGACCCTGGTACGAGCCAGATTGCGCAGAACTTCTTTGCGCTCAACTCGGAGGTTGTTGATGCTACTCTTGGTTTCCCAGTATGTTCAATATGTCAGAATGGTGTGGGGTTTGTGCTAACATGAATGCAAGGGTCAAATCAATAGCAAGAACATCGACGAGTTCGGTGCTTCACTTCCTGCCAACCTGGCCCGTGATGCTAGAGCTTGCATGGCAAAGTGTGGACAGTAAATCCACCAGGGAAGTAATAACACGTTGAGCAGATCTGGTAGGATTTAATATGACGGGACGACATCTTTGAGTGCAGCATACATAGCGACGGCGCGATTCAGATTCTTTGAGCGATTGGTGGGCATTAGTTATTGGTTTTACTTCTTTGTGCATTTACCTTGGATTTGTCGATTGTTTAGATGTACACTCATTATACAAGCGAATAGAAAACACTTGTTTACTAGCTACTGCATTTTGTCACGCGTGAGTGTTGGCAGCCACACATGTGGCACAGCAACTGGACCCTGGAAATGTTATTTTGGTGACTGTTCGCGGCCCCGCAACGACTCATCCAGTTGGGCGCAGGGCGCAAGACACACCAATAACCCACCCGCTTCGACTGAGCTTGATAACGACAGCCCTAAATCGCTGTTCTTACCCACTCCTCTTTCCTCGAAACCACTCCATCACTCTCCCTTCAGTCTCAACTCAATTGGCACACCAGCTGCCCCTCGTACCCCACCACGGCCGACACAATGGCAGACCCCGCGGCAATCCAGCAGGAGATCGCGGACATTGAGAAGAGAATCGAAGAGGCGCAGACACAACTCAAGGATGCAAAGTCAAGATTACAAAAAGCCCAGGCAGCTTCCTTCGTCAACCCCGGCGCGAACATGTCCGAGGAAGAGAAGATGGCGCTCATCAAGGTCAACCTGGCCGAGGTCTTGAACCCAGAGATCATGGACGAGGCGCTGAAGAAGCAAGGACACTTGAAGGTTTACTGGGGTACTGCGACAACAGGACGGCCACATTGCGGTTACGTATGTTTACATCGCGAGACACGGTCGCGTGCAATGCTGACGATGTATGCTGTAGTTCGTACCTATCCTCAAGCTCGCGCAATTCCTCGCTGCAGGCTGCCACGTAAAGATCCTGCTCGCAGACATCCACGGCTTCCTCGACAACCTCAAAGCGCCCATCGAGCTCGTCAAGTTCCGCGCAGAATACTACCGCTACACCATCACCGCACTGCTCAAGGCCGTCAAGGTGCCAATCGACAAGCTAGAGTTCGTACTGGGATCGAGCTATGAGTTGAACTCGGACTACACCATGGATCTGCTGAGACTAGCGAGTATAACAAGCGAGGCAGCAGCAAAGAAGGCCGGCGCAGAAGTCGTCAAGCAAACCGAGAACGCGCCCTTGAGCGGCCTCATCTACCCACTGATGCAGGCCCTCGACGAGCAGTACCTCGACGTCGACGTCCAATTCGGAGGCGTAGACCAACGCAAGATCTTCGCGCTCGCAAAAGACGTACTCCCCAAGATCGGCTACAAGGAGCGTGCCCACTTGATGAACCCCATGGTTCCCGGTCTGCAGGGAGGCAAGATGAGCTCATCCGACCCCGACTCCAAGATCGATGTCCTAGACGACGCCGACGTCGTAAAGCGCAAGCTCAAGAAAGCGCACGCAGCGCCCAAGATCGTCGAAGAAAACGGCGTCCTCAGCTTCGTCGAGTACGTCCTCCTCCCCGCCAGCCACCTCAACTACGGCGAGCCCAAATTCGTCGTAAAGCGGCGCGACGCCGAACCCCTCACCTACACGGATATCAAGAAGATGCAAGAAGACTACGCAGCCGATATTCTCACACCCCAGGATCTCAAGCCCGCGGTTACGGAGGCGCTCAACGCGCTTCTTGAGCCCGTGCAGAAGGAGTTCCAGGGCAACCAGGAGTGGAAGGATATCGAGCAGAAGGCTTACCCACCGCCGCCGGTGGTCAAGAAGGAGAAGAAGGTTAAGAATAAGGGTACTTTCCATCCGAAGCAGAGGAATGTGGAGGCCAAGCCTGATGGGCATGTTGAGGGTGAGGATAAGGCGAAGGTTGATGTTGGGACTGAGGGTGGGGATAAGGCTATTGAGGGGCTGAGTTTGGAGGAGAAGAAGTAGAGGATTCGGATAGATGTTTCGTGATACCGCGTAGATGAGCATACTAGTTGCATCCGTCGTTGCACATATCTACAACGTCCTGTTTAGTAGTCTCCGTGAGGATTGCGTACTCTGGTTGGTACAGATATCTCGACCTCCATGGAGCCTAGAGAGCACTACCGCGGTATTCCACATCCAGCTGTCGTGAGTCTTCCTGTTCCTCCAAAGCCGCCAGTGCAACTGAAGGCTGCCGACTTCGCACCTCAACCATCCCAATGAATATCTGTCCAAGTATCTCCACCCCTCCCTCAAGAATACAGCTCCGCCTCATCCACCCTCCTCATCTCCATCCCCCCAGCCCCCTCCCCATGCATCCCATGCTCGGGTCTCTTCAACGCGGTCCCCTCCTTCAAATACAATATCAACCTAAACGCCGCATTCCCATTCAAATAATACCGATGCAGCCTCTTACTCCGTATAAACCCCAGCCGCTCATAGAGTTTCAAACTCGCGGTATTCGACACCTCGGTCTCCAGGACGATCTCGTCGGCATCGCGCGCAGTCATGGCATCGATGGCAAGGCGAACGAGTTGCGTGGCTATGCCGCGGCCGCGGTACTCTTCTTGCGTGGCGAGCATGGCGATGTAGCCGCGGTAGGTGCCGCTGCGGTGGGGTTCGAGTTTGCAGGTTATGACGCCGATGAGGGTGGATGTTGGGGAGAGGGCCTGCGGGGTTGGGGTTAGTTGGGTGTAATTTGGGGGAGGGGAGGATGGGGAAGTACCATACCATGTAGCATAAATCACCCCATTGGTATAAGAAGTACCGGTATACATAGATACTGTATGGCTCGGAGAGGTCTTTGGAGATTAGTTGGCGGATGGCGGGGAGGTATTGCTCTTCTTTCGAGGGTTCGTATTGGACATATTGGAGGTCGTCGGTCTCTCTCAGCTGTTTGGTCGAGGGTGTCGCCGTCGACGCATCAACTGTGACGTCGCCATCATCATTGTTGGCCATGGCGCGTAGGAAGGAGAGCGATGCGCGTATGCGAAGCCCCTCATAGCGGCCGGCTTGGCCCGCTGTGTCAGGAACGTGCTTTCTCGTGCATCCTTGTGCCGATCATTCCGTCACATGCCGAGGGACGATAACCAAAAACAATCTCGTGGCAGGCGCTCCCGCTCCCTCGTACAACCCCGCGTACAACTTTCAACGCTTCGTTCATGTCTTTCCTGAGACGCCGCTTCGGCGGTGGCGGCGGCGGCGACGACAGCGAGATCTCGACGCCCGAACTGTCCCGCGAACCTTCTCCCGGACCGGATGGGAGATTCAAACGCCCTGCGAACTTGCGCCTGATTACCGCGGAGCAGCTGCAGACGCTCAAGAAGAGGGGGCAGCATAAGAAACGGAGAAACTTCTGGGTGTTTGGTCTGGGAGGCATATTCGGGTTGTTGCTGGCGGGCTTCTTTGCGAGCAGTAATGACATGATTGATCTGAGTAGTTTGGAGGGCGTCAACTTGGAGAGCATCATGGAGGCGCTGCCAGACAACTTTGTGAAGAGCGCGCAGCAGATGCAGGTACGCGCGACTTTCGCTTCCTCCATACGAGGACTGAAAGGGAGAACCTGCGCATCGAGAAGAATCGAGGCTGACTGCCCCAACTCAGTAGAAATCAGAAAAAGACGCCGTAAACTACGATTCCTTCGCCGTCGGGCTCCACGCGCAGAAACAAGGCATCAAAGCCAAACACCCCGTTATCATGATACCCGGTGTCATCTCCACGGGTCTTGAGTCTTGGGGTACAGAGGAAGGGTCAAGACAATACTTTCGCAAGAGACTATGGGGGTCGTGGACGATGATGCGCGCGCTCGTCCTCGACAAGGCGCAGTGGAAACGACACATCATGCTCGACAAAGACAGCGGTCTCGATCCACCGGGCGTGAAGCTACGAGCAGCTCAAGGCTTCGACGCAGCCGACTTCTTCATAACAGGATACTGGATTTGGAATAAGATTCTGGAGAACCTCGCTACCATCGGGTATGATCCAGGGAACGCCTTCACGGCAGCTTACGACTGGCGCATGTCGTACATGAACTACGAGATTCGCGACCAGTACTTTACGCGTCTAAAGTCGCACATCGAAGTCGCCGTGCGCGTGTCGGACAAGAAGGTCGTTCTCCTTTCACATTCTATGGGCTCGCAGGTCCTCTACTACTTCCTTCACTGGGTCGAAGCAGAAGGTTACGGCAACGGCGGACCAAACTGGGTCGACGAATACATCGACAGCTGGATCAATATCTCCGGCTGCATGCTCGGCGCCCTAAAAGATATGCCCGCTGTCCTCTCTGGCGAAATGAAAGACACAGCCCAACTCAACGCCTTCGCCGTCTACGGCCTCGAACGCTTCTTGTCACGTTACGAACGCGCAGAAATCTTCCGCGCAATGCCCGGTCTCTCTTCCATGCTGCCCCTCGGCGGCAACGCCGTCTGGGGCGACGAAACCGGTGCGCCCGACGACCTGCCAGGCCAAAACGTAACGTTTGGCCCTTTTATCCGATTCCGCAACGCAAACAGCACCATGACGCAGAAGAACATTACTGTGGACGACAGCCTCCCCTTCCTTTTCCGCAACACAGAACCCTGGTTCAAGAAAATGATTCAAACTTCCTACTCCCATGGCGTAGCCCACACCACCAAGCACGTCGAAGACAACCAGTTCCTGCCTGCTAAATGGGTCAACCCTCTCGAAACCCGGTTGCCACTCGCTCCGAATCTAAAGATATACTGTTTTTACGGTGTGGGTAAGGATACGGAGCGTGCGTATTATTACCGCAGTGACGACGATCCGTTGTCCGGATTGAATGTCACGCTCGACACGATGTTTACCGAACAGGAGGGCAATGTGGATCATGGTGTTGTTATGGGTGAGGGAGATGGCACAGTCAATCTTCTGAGCAGTGGATACATGTGTACGAAGGGGTGGAAGATGAAGAGGTATAACCCCGCGGGGGTCAAGGTAACGACGTTTGAAATGAAGCATGAACCTGATCGGTTTAGTCCTAGGGGTGGACCTAATACTGGTATGTCTTTCCTCTTACCTTCCTACTCGACTTCTTGGAAGATTTCAGGATTCGTGAGTATGTGCTGACGATGCATGCGCAATAGCGGATCACGTAGACATACTGGGCAGAATGTCGTTGAACGATCTTATTCTGCAGGTGGCGGGTGGAAGGGGCGAGTTGATTAACGATACCATCCATTCTAATATCAGGGAGTACGCTGAGAAGGTCAAGATCTATGAGGAGGAAGACTAGGGTAACGCGTCGGTTGGAATGTTTGGGATGGCGCGGGGTGTGTATATGATTATGTCGACTCGTGAGGGCGAGAGAGCGAGCATACGGTGAGCTTTCAGGCTACGATTGATACCATAGACCGACAATTCCTTTGCGTATGTTTTTCATTGCCTATTATTATACTGATCCGATAAAGGCTTCCTCTATTCACACCCCTTCCTTACACAAACGGCAGGATAACATGAGACTGATACTCCCCACCCACATGCACGTTATGAACCCCCTTATTCCTCTCCTCAAGCTCCACTTTCTTCCGTGGACCAAACTCCTGCACAAGCGGATACTCACCACTAACCTGCACCGAAATGCCTTCTCCAGCCTCAAAATCAACGCCCATAGCCCACAGCCCTATCTCCAGCTTCACCACCTCGCCCGGCGTGACCTTCTGCACCTCGTCGTGCGTATGAAATGGATACTGCGGATGTATCGACTGCGCTTGATCTATTTTCCGGTGCGAAGCGCGCAGCACGCCCGTGGGCCCGTAGTATACCATCAAATTCGAGTAATCCTTGACTGGGATTTCGGACGCGGACTTGTATGGCGCAGCGGACCAGGGGATGTTGATGGCGATCATGGGCTTACCGTCTTTGTCTAGTTTGCGGATCAAGACGTAGACGATCATGTCGTTGAAGTCGGGGCAGGACATGTAGAGGACGGCTTTAGGTAGGCCCATGAGCCGGGTGTGTTTGTCGAAGGTCATTGTGAAGGCGGCGTGGGAGACGGGGGAAGTGTTGCTTTCGGAGTTGTAGGTTAGGGTACTGGGGGTGGTTGGTGCGGTGGCGGAAAGCGTGTTGTTGGCGGAGAGGAACAGGGTGCGGTAGTCTGTTCGCGGGATGGGGAAGTCTTCTTCGACGATGGGGTAGATGGCTTCTTTGTCGCCGTAGTTGAGCGAGGACATGCGTACGCGGGGTGTCTTTTCCCAGTCATTCTTCTCGCCTTTTAAGTAGCGGTCGAAGAAGGAGGCGAGTTCGTCGATGGATTCCTGCACCGCCCAGAGATCGTACCATTCTTGGTACGGGTCCCATCTTAACCACTTATCTTTGGTGTCGACTTGCATCCAGCCGCGTATCGAGCCCATGGTGTGCACGAAACTGGAGTAGGATGCGACGATGTATGTAGGTATCTTTATGCTGGCGATGTCGGCGCGTTTATCTGCCCAGTATGGGTTCATGGTTGAGGAGCGGCGGTACATCTCTTTGAAGTCTTCGAGGCCGTTTTTGCCTCGGATTACGTGCTCGGTTATGAAGTCGAAAAGACCGTTGTCCCAGGCTCCGCCGCGCACGAATTGCTCGCGGTAGAGGTCGCCGCAGGCTTCCCAGGGTGCGATGGCTTTGAGCGAGGGGGGTTGTGTTGCGGCGATGAACCATTGGACGATGCCGAGATGTGAGTTGCCTGCCAGTCCAATTGAGCCGTTACACCTGTATCATTGTTAGATCCATGTCGTTTTATAGATCGATGGAAGACTTGCCAGTCCATCTTTGCGAGCTCTTCGATCACGTCATGCCCATCTTCACCTTCCTGCTTTCCCATGATGACAATATCTCCGTCGGAGTCTCCCGCACCTCGTGCATCCACATTGACGACTGCATACCCACGAGGGACGTATGCCGCCGGATCTGGTCCTTCGAAGCGCTCGAGACCGCTAAGGCAACCTTTCGGTACACCGCAACCCCATTTCACCTGTACCATGTTAACTTTTGCTCATATCCGAAAATTGTTCTGTACGGTGAACACAAACCTTGGACATCATATCAATACCCGTATGCTTTTTGCCAAAAGGACTCCAAGCCACGATCGCAGGCACTTTCTCGCTCCCATCGCTTCCGACTGGCCGGTAGATGTCGCAGTACAAAGTACACCCATCTCTGACTTTGACAGCGACGTCATGCTCAGCGATCATGTCTTCAGAGAGTGCGCGGGCGCCATCTCGGCTTTGGTACCCCTTGCGAAGAGTCTCTTTGCGCGGGTTGAAGCCTTGATAGCCATTCTCACCCACCTTGGGCGGCTTGACAGCGAGATTGGCTACCTGAAAAGCGAGAGGCATAGTTCTGGTATGAAAAGAACGGATAAGAAAGTTGTTGCGAGTAACGTGCAGCAACATGAGAAGGAGGCTGCATCATGGTTTTGAAAGTCCATACTGTCAACGGATGGACCCCGTGGGAACCGCTGAAGCACCGCCCGACCGTTCTCGGCCGCGACGTTTCTGCCGAGCGACTTGCCTTTTGAATATTTTCCACGGCTTCCAAGGTGTAGCGTCGGCATGTGGAGTGTTTCGAGATGCACATGCACGCTAAGGCTCGCCCGATCTCGACCGTGATGCCGTGAGCCGCAGGGTCCGCCCCACAACGAAGCTTGTCTATCCCCGCATCGAGCGGCCGTGGACGGGCGAGCCGGGGTAATGTGACCGAGAAGATTGTAGAGGGGTGTGAAGTATATCACTGGAAGACTTTCTTGCCTACTCGACTCGGTATTTCAAACTCTACTTCAAACTCAATACTTCAAGACATTGCGAACATGGCGCCCTTCCTCGACGACAACGAGAACACGAGCACTGCTCAGCAAAAGTATGGCGACTGGCGAGATGACTTCTACGAGAAGGGCTACGTAGTTCTCAAGGGCGTAGTGCCCAAGGAGCGAGCCCTGAAGTACCGTAACAAGATGATGGACTGGCTTGGTACCTTTCCCAACGACTTCGATATCAACAAGCCAGAGACATGGACCAAAGAGAATTTACCCCAAAGCTTCAAGAACGGAATGTACCTCAACTACTGCGCTGCACATGAGAAGTATGTTTGGGAGGCAAGACAGTAAGTACACCCCTCCAGTAAAGACGCGTCGATCGCGGTAGCTGATGCTTTTGCGAATAGGGAACCAGGTGTTCTAGCTGCTTTTGAGAAGTTGTGGAACACAAACGAGCTCATCGTGTCGTACGACACTATCAACCTCACACTGCCAAATGCCGGCAAGATGGCTGGCAGCAAACCGTGGCCGCACGTCGACCAAGCACCCGAGCGACAAGGCCTGTCTTGTGTCCAGGGAATAATCAACCGTACGTCAAAACTCCTTCCTTCTAATCATCCAAAAGCATCCTACTGACACACCCTCAGTCTCCGAGGCCGGTCCGAAAGACGGTGGACTCGTTGTGATGGAAGGCTCAGCCAAGCTCTTCGACAAGTTCTTCAAACAACACCCCCCGGACCGAACCAAGGGCCCCCTCGCCGCCCTCCACTACGACTTCTACCCCTTCCAAGACACAGACGTGAAGTGGTACGAAGACCAAGGCTGCAAGATGGTCAAGGTCTGCGCCGAGCCCGGCGATCTCATCCTTTGGGATTCGCGACAGATGCACTACGCTGTGTACCCCGAGACAGACAACATCCGCACCATCATCTATGCGTGCTACACACCGGCAGCCATGGCGTCCAAGGAGGATCTGGAGAAGAAGAAGGAGATCTTCGAGAAGTGGGAGGCGACTACACATTGGCCACACATCAACATCCACTCGCAAGGGAAGGCCAAGGTGGATGGTGAGATTGATCCGTGGGAGCGGACGGAGCCGCTTGAGAAGCCGGAGTTGACTGATAAGCTGCTCAAGCTGGCGGGCGTGAAGCCGTATTGAGGAGGGCATAGTGTATGACCTCTTTTGGTAGAGATGAATTTGTATAGCGTTGTGTAGCAATCATTCACATTTGAGCAAATACTTCGTCCCAGTCGTCGAAGCCGTATGTTGCATTGAGTGTGTTGCCGATCCCATCGAACATGTCGATATTCTCGTAGTTGCCGTGGTGGGCAAAACCGTCCATCGGAGGAGCCGAGTTGGATAGGTCGTTGGTGTGGCTGTGATCGGCCATCGACAGCTGCTGCAGTAACTCATGTATCGTACGTGGCGCTCCAGGAAGCTCTGTATCGTGTCGTTCTAGCACGGGCAGGAGACCCTCGAGGACAGCCGAGCCCTTCGCAGCATGAACGGCGACGGCAGAGTGCTTCCGCAGCTCAGTGAACGCCATTCGGAGAAGGTTGATGATTCGAAGCTTAGCATCACCTCGATAGTCATGCGGGTTTGCGAGCATGTCTAAAGACACGTATATAGCAGCTGCGACAGTTGACGCAGATATAACCCATACTAGCCTGTACACTCTTGGAGCAGGCTTAGCGTAGTAATTCAGAATATTGTTGGCTGATTGAAGAGCAAGCTGCCTGGAGTTCGTCGGGTCTTCATCTGTGTTCGTCGGCAACAAAACGCGAGCGATAGTCAGCAATATGAAATCAAGGACGTAGTGGATTTGGTAGCGCTGAAATGGTATCCAGGGGTACTCCATCTCCCATATCCGATCGTCTTCATTGGCTGGGAAGTTTGGCGATAGATGCAGGGGTAGGTCTCGCCGGAGAGTCTGAACTTGCTCGATGGCTTTGATAAACTTCAAATTCGTCTGGTGCGTGTTGGCTTTGATGTAGAGGTAGACTATGTAAGAGACACGGCACATGATTGAATGGTAATGAGCCGGTGAAGGAGTAGCCAAATTTCCAGATTCGAAAGAAGCAGGACTATCAGCCATGGGCGCTCTGGGTAGTATGTAGTCGTCTTGGCTGGTAATGGTCGATACATGGCAGCAAAAGCTGGCGGGTGAGATTGATGGCGGTCGAGACCAACTTCCAAGCCTAAGGAAGGTCAGTCAGATCGATTGGGACAAAGAGCACGTGACCAGTACTTACCAATCCCGGATAACGCAAGCCCACCATAACCGACGCCCCATTTCTCGCTGAGAAGGAGATGACCACTCCGGTCTTTTGCATAGGTCTTTGGAGATGTTCACTTCGTTCCCTAGCTTGTGCATATCCAGACATCTGGCCATGTTGGTCGCAAAACCGGTAATGAGCCATTCTCGCTGGTGTTCTCCAAAGTTGGAATGACATAGTGTCAGTACTGACAGAGCCTGAACAACAGGGAGAGAAGGTGATCCAGCAAACCCATACCTCTCCAGCTCTTTCAGCGCAGCCTCGTACCAGAGACGAGACGTATGTACTGCGATAGAGACGGGGTTGTCCAATGGCATTCCAAGTTGAGGCAACTGGTTAACATCGGGAATTTCGTCCGGATTGGAATAGAGTATGCCCACAGCCAGGACAGCAAGGTAGACAACCAGCCAAGGTCTCCGTGCGCGATCGATACCAGCACCGAGCTGCGTACTCTGCCAGAACTCTTCATGCTCTCGGAAAAACACATCTGCATCCACGGCGCAGTGCAGCCAGCCCAGAGTTTGCAGCGAGAAGGTGACGAGCTGGATACTAGCGTCTTTACTGGGAAGAAGCAGATAGATGGGATCCGCAGCAGGTTCGTATAGTCTATCTATGAGATCTTTCTCGCCACCCTCGCGCGCAGCATTGGTCGTGATACCGATATCAAACTGTTCAAACGCCGGGATCAGGTCCTCCAGGGAAGCCGACGGGGCAGAATAGTCGGTAGATTCGCTGGTCCGGCTATGAGCACACGGCTTAGACAGCGCGAGAGCCGTCTCGAGCTCAGCAATCTGGGCGCGCAAAGCGCCTCGTTCGCGCAGCAGATCCTCGAGTTGCACGTCGTCGGCGCTGCCAGCATCGGAATCGGCGTAGACGGTTAGCTGTCCCCTGACGCGGACGATCGGCCGCCGGCAGGAGTTTCCGGCGTTGCGGCGCACGCAGGGCGCGCAGGGGGACTTCTTGTCGCAGCGGATTTTGCGACGGCTGCACTCGACGCACGAGCGGCTCACGCGCTGCGATGTCTTGATGCCGGCTTCGCTCATGGTGCGTGAAGGTGACGTACGTGGTGTGGGTGGTGAGCATTTGCCGAGGAGCTTGAGGCTCAAAATCCTCCAGGCCTGTAAGTACGCGTACCCCGCATGTCTCGTCTCGTGTCCCCCATGCCGTTCCCCCTTGCCAGGCAGCTGGGCCGGGCTTTCCCCACACCTATTATCGGCCTAGCCCGCGCTCCCTCCACAATCCGTTCGCATACTTATTGGACTGGGCGGCCCAGTGCGGGCGAGGTCCGGGGTTGCACTGCGCTGAGACTCTTGTTCCAAGTCACGACGCAGATGCCATGGCGCTGGTAGCTGCGTCCACTTCGGAGCTCGAGGTGTACAAAATCTGGGGAATGCCTCTCTGTTTCGAGGCATCAGCGGCTGTCCATCATGGCGCCTCACGACTCCAAGAACGAAGCCAGCGCTCACATTGAGATAGTCGATGCTCATAAGAAAGCTGCCAGGCCGGTGGTTGGCACCATCAGGCTGTACGACGAGGATGGCATTGTGCTGATCCCAACACCAAGCAGAGATCCCAATGGTAGCTTCAACCCATCAAACCCAGTAAGAAAAAGATCTCTAACGAACATAGATCCATTGAACCTTCCAAAATGGCAAAAGTACATCATTCTGATCATCGTTGGCCTGTACGCTGCCACCGGAAATCTAATGGCCAGCGGTATCACCGCCATTCTGCCCATCGTACAAGCCTCGTACGGCGGCGACCCAAAGACCAGCGACCTCGCAACCTGGCCAGCCTTCTACATGGGCGTTGGTAACCTCCTTGCGATCCCCGTAGCCCATGCCATCGGCCGCCGACCAGTCTATCTCATGTCGACCATCGTGCTCTCCTTCGGATGTCTCTGGTGCGCCTACAGCGGAAGCCTGGAATCGCACATCGCAGGCAGAGATGTCATGTCGATTGCCGCTGGCCAAGCTGAAGCGCTGTGCCCCATCATTGTGCAGGAGATTTTTTACCTGCACGAGAGAGGCCATGTCATTGCGTGGTTCTGCGCGCTGCAGACGCTTGGTACTGCCGCGCTCATCGTAGCCAGTTCGTATCTCGCGAACGATCTGGGCTGGAGGTGGTGGTACGGTGTGTTTGGATGTCTAAGTGGAGCTATTGCAGTTCTCAGCATCATTTTTGTCGCCGAGACAAAGTACGAGCGCACGCTTGAGGCACTGAGTAAGTCGACCTACACCACATTATCAAGCACATGTACTAACATGCCCCAGACGGCCAAGGCATCGACGAAGACGGCACCCTCGT